GGTGTTCTTTTTATATTTTTTGCCCTTCAGTTTTGAGCATGAGTAATCTCAAACTACACAAAACATAAGCGGTGGATAACATTTTTATAGAAGAAAAATTGTTACCCCGGTTAACTTTTAATCCTGGGTTAGTGTTAACGGGCTTTTGAACAACCCGGCCCTGGTACCAAAATGCAACATGATTTGGTTAACTTTGTAACAATGATGGTTGTCATGACAGCAATAAACTATGCAATCCTTTAAGGTCACAGAGTTAGACACTTGATACATGCATGTAGAAGGCCACATCAACAAAGCTAGAAGTCGTGAAGGCTTTAAGAAAGAGATTCTATCAGCACTAATGTACACTGTACATGTAATTATACAATTTGTGAAATAACATGCAGTATATTGTTAATAATTATTTTGTCAGCATTAAATATTAATTATTCATGTGCATTTTTGAATAACAGGGTTTTGTCATGTCTGATGGAGAATCTTCACACAGATAACATGATACCTGAGTGTGAGGAACAGTTATTGCACTTGGAATTTTTCATTGCAAGGGACATTGAGTAAGAATGCACTGTTTTGGCCCTTTAACTGGTTGTTGTAACATAACTCTGTATCAGCTTAAAGGTGCACTATCAAGAGTGTGACCTTGAAAAGCCAAAACCTTAATTAAAGGTCTATTTTCACTCATTGAAACCTATTAAATAATGTTATAATGTTCTACAGTTGCAGTGAAAGTCACTATCAAATAAATATAAGTGTGCAGTTGAAGCTATAAATTAAAAGAGTGTCTTAATGGGTTTCACATGCACACTGTTGCAATGTCAAATTGGAAATCTGTGGTCATGTCTTAAAAGAATTGCGAAAAACTTATTTCATGATGCCATAAATTTAGGACTGCCACAATAATGCTGGAAAAATCACTGCATACATGATGGTGTCTCTTTAACCTATAGCCTGATTAAGCAAATGCCACTTTTTAGATGTTCATTTCTTCCCTATGAAACAGGTTTACGAGACACAAGTCAAACCATGGACCTTTCCCCCAATGAGACTTCCACGCAGGAAGTCATGGTAGTTGTATTCATCATGTGCATGACATCTTTGAGACATTGCATACAACTATCATGATGATTCCCTGTGCGTGCATCTCGCAGAGTTTATGATATCCCTGGGTCAGGAATAGAATGACCACTAATATTTGTTGATAAAAATGATGGTAATGAAAATAAACAGCTGACTGTGTGTCACTGTGCAAAGGTATGTTAATCTGTGAAAATCATCTGTTTACCTTGTAAGTTGACTTAAGCAATGAAATCTGAGGAACTGTTTGACTAGTGATGAAAAATGTTCCCTTGTTGAATGGGGTAAAACTTCATGAACTTTGAGTTACTAGTGTAGAAGCTAGGATTTTCTATTTCTTAGGGAGTGAAAATACTGTGTGATCGTTTCAGACTTGATCCTGTATTGAAGAAAGCTTGCCAAGATGATGTTAAGACCATCTGCAATGCTCCCAACCTGGATGATCAAGACTCATACCCCAGCAGCCTCATTATATCATGTCTTTATAGGCATGTTGTCCTTGATCCACAAAGAAAGGTCAGAACAGTTTTTACTGCTTTCCTTTCCAACTGCTAATTTGCAAAAATCAATTTACAATTCGTGAAATGAATGCTTGTTTTGAGATTTTGTTAAGACGTCAAGACAGTGATTTCTTACTCTCCTTAGCTGTATTTTTTTAACAGGGTAATGATGCTGAGAACCTATTCTTGCATGTGTTTACAGATGCCCCTCCCTTCCCCTACTTGGTTAATAGGGACCTTAACAAACCAAAACAGCAGTGGCAATAAGAGCATCAGAAAACAAAAGGTTTCATGAGCAGAACAACAGTCACACGTGTGCATTGTCCATCTCTGTAGATTTCTTAGCCTTCTTCTGCAAAACAGAACATGAAAAGTTCCTTGTATTCTGAGAACATGAATCGTGACAGTTAATTGTTCATTTTTCTTTCTGGAATTGATCACCATCGTAGTATAGTCAGCTGGAACCTGTTTTAATACTACTAGACATGCAGAATGCATCTAAATCTTATTAACGTCGTCTTTAGGTTTGTGATTGTTATTGCTAAATTTCCCCTTTAACTTCTGGCCAATAGTTCTCTCCTCTGTTTTAAAGCAAGTCCTTGTGGAAAAAAGAAAAAGGTTAATCTGATAGTATATTTCCATGATTAATATTTGAAAATGAATTTAAGCAAAGGTGGAAAGAAGTTCAGAAAGACCTATTAATTATTGTTATCTGTTGTGCAGGTTTCACCCAAATGTGCTGCTCATGTGCAGCGTGTGATGCATCAAAGAGCTGTTGATGTCCATCTGATGCCTGAAATACAAACAGCTTGTGTACAGGATCTTGCAAAACACTGCAGTGAACAACTTGGAAAAGGAGAGGTAATAGACCTAAACAAGAACACTATCAGAACATTGTGGAAGGAATTTAGCCTGTGCAGTTCATGGTATTCTGGGAAAAATGACAGGGCAGGGTGTAAACAAGAGAGGACAGAGTAAAACCTCAAAAATACTTATGGAGATTGACAAGTGTACCACCTCTCCCCTCCTAAAGAAACCCTCTATCAATGAAGACAACTTGTCAGCTGGAAAATAGAATTTTCATTTTTAGGAATTTGAGGCCATTTGGTTTAGTTAGAATTTTGAGTTGGAGTGATTGTTTCAAGACAGTTTTGGTCCAGTGTCTTAAAAAACCATTATAACCAGTTATTATATATATCTTGTTTACCAAGCGTCAGTGCTGTGTTGGGAGAGTATCAGCCAGAAGTCTTTAAAAAAAGACCAAGGGCCAATATTTCCCAGTATGGTCCCTAGCAAGCTTGGTTAATAAGACATTAACAATCACCCTTCATATCGCTTTATGCTTGGGTATAAAAGCAGCAATGTATAGACAACACTGCATAACACAGTCATGCTGTTGTCATGGTATTGTCATGTTGGGCATATATTTATTCTGCAAGGAATGAGATTGTTTTGCAGGCTTCACAGGCAAGATTTGTGGACAGGCACTTACATTTATTTGATATAGTTAAATGGAATTTGATATAGTTAACGACTAGGAGCTAGTCTGGTCAGCAACGTTTTTGTAGGCGTTTGTTAGCGTCTTGGCCGTCTGTTAGCATTTGTTAAGCGTTTATTGCGTTCTATAGCGTTTTGCAGCAGTCATATGG